TTATTTTTATTATTATTTGCCTATCATTATTATTATTACATATGACAGTCACAGTTTTGTGATTTTGAGAAGTCTTTGTTTTGAATCCTCATTCGAGTTTCTGAAGAAAGATAAGTAATTTTCCCTCATTCATGTTTGCAAAGATTGCTCTAGTTCCCCTGGCAAAGGATAATGTAAATTATAAAACTGTTGTGTCTTGAGGTCTCCAAGGAGGATAACTCAAAGTCATTTTAAAACTGTGGCTCTGTGTTACTTCCCCTGTAGTCTTCCCGTGTGTTTTGCATGTGTTCCTCACAATTTAGCGATCGGCAAAGACTGCGCTGCGCGTTTTAACGATCATATAGTTGCGCGGAAATCTGAAGATTATGTTAATGTTTTATATTTTCAAAGAGCTCACAAGAATGATACAATGCCAGGTATCAAACTCGAAGTTCACAAAGTACATTTAATTCATCTTATATTTTTTTAATGATTTTCTTTTTATTCACTTCCATCCTTATTCTTTTACTCACATCAAGGAACATCCACGTATATTTTAAAAAGTGTAAAAATATAAAAATTAAAATCAAAATTAAGATATGAAACTGAAGAGCTCACAAGAATGATACAATTATACGATCGTTAAAATGTGCGGAACACCTGCACAGTGCCGGGCCTCTAAGCTACCCTGAGGATTCCTTCGGACTGAACCATGTTCTCCAGATAATCAGTCATTGGTGACGTCGGTAGCCTAATGGTTAAGCAACCTGGCCCCTTAATCGTGAGATTGCGGGTTCGGAGGTTCGAACCTCAGCTCAGTCTGACGTTGTGTCCTTGGGAAAGGCACTTTACTCGAATTTTTTATTTGGCTCGGTCCTTTCACAGATGGGCGTTAAACTCGGAGGTCATGCCTCTTAAATTAAATAACCTAATAGTGTTGATAGGGGCATAAAACCTATACCATTTCACCATTTCAGTCATCATTTTCCTTATATCGAACCTTACCTGCCAGGTTTATACATTCAAGTCAAGTGCGAGTCAGAGTAAACAATAGCCACTAATGACCAGTTTTACCGAAGCTCGCCCTAATTATTATTATTATTCATGATTACTTTTAAAACTTTTGTGAGTAGATGCTGTGTTTTGAAATAAGCTGTTAAAATTCTTGCAGTTTGAATTTTATCCTTGAGGTGTTGAGCAAACATACCTCAAAGGGGACAATATAATCAATTATATACTTTACTTACTTTTCCGATCCAGCGGCAATTTGGATTCTAGCTCTTCAGTGTGTCGATATGGCTAAGAATTTACATGTTTTAATCAGCTGTGCTTTGTCGCTGTATAGAGTATTTCCGATGTCTGGGTAGGCAGGTAGGTAGGCGCTATGCAGGTCCCAAAGTGCTGGGCAGTTAGATCAATATATAGAGAGTGGTTTAGCATTAGAACAGTTTATTATATGGGCAAATACTGTGCTGATGATGTGCTTATATTTACTCAAACAAAGACCATATACCTACAGGTTCCAAACATGTTTCTGAAGACGTTCATGGAAACGGACGAATACGTGAAGGAACTCATGAAAGGGCACGAAGCGACCTATGACCCTGACAACATTCGCGACTTCGTGGATCTGTTGATTGAGGTCCGGACGCAGAACAAAGGAAACAGGCACTTCACAGGTAAAATACGATAAGATAAAATACAATAAGATATATTGAGACAAAAATGAGATAAAAGAAGATGAGATAAGATGAGATAAAATGAGATGAGATAAGATTTGATGGGATAAGATAAGATAATATAAGAAGGGAAAAGATGAGATAAGATAGATAGAATTAGATAAGATGAGATGAGATAAGATAAAATGAGATAAAATGAGATCAGACCTGATGAGATAAGATAATACTTAATTGTCCCAGAGGAAACATTTTTTTGGCTGTACAGGACTGTAAAAACACATGCAGGTATACCTAAAAATTAAGTTGTACATTACTCTCAACGAAATTCAATATGATGAAAAGAAAAGTAAAGCTGACAAAATGTACATATGTCACATCAGATGCATCATTCAACCACATGATGAAATTTAATAACAAGATCTTTAGAGTTACATAGATGCATACTCAAAAAAGGAATACACTGTATTGATGTTTGTTCTGACATCAAACTATACTTATACTAGATATGTGAGGCAGCGTGGTGGAATCAGGCTCTCGTCAATTTTTGGGCATGTAGAGTTATTGGTATAATCCTAAAGCATCTTCACTTGTCTTTATTTGGATGAAAAAATATCCATTTATCTTGAATACAAGTCGGGATATTTGCGAAAGAAGAGGTGGGGGTGACCTGTTTTCAGTAGTAAAATTAGTGAGAAAATGGCCATCAAAGATTAGTTATTTCCTTAGCTTAAGAGTCCGTGATAACTGAAAAATTTCATTTTTGTGCCTTTATTCAACGCTTTTCTGAAAAATCCACCCAGAAATGAGTTCTTTAATGGGCATGAAAGGTGTTGAGCCAAAAAACAAAAATTTGATAATAATTCACAAGCATGCGGAAAAATTCAAGTTTCTTCGCTTTGATTATTTTGACAAGAGCCTGATTCCCCCACGCTGCCTCACATATGGTAACTCGTGGCAAGCAAAGTGTGTCGGGCAAAATAAATATCCATGGTTTGGTGCCGAAGGAAATTCAACTTTCTAATAATAATAGAGGAAAAAACTGATAAGAGGAGTTTGAGGAAGAGGTTGGGTTAAATATATAAAATATAAAGATATATTATTTATTTATATATAATATATGTTACATATATTATATATATGAAGAGTTCTGTGGAAAAACGACGGTAGTCACAAACTGGAAATTGTGAGGGTGCAAAAATTTTAAAGCTTGTGGACTCATAACTTCCAATTTATTTGACTGGTGGTTTATTGTTAAGTGTTGTTGAATGGGAAATCTAACAACAAGAATCCACCAACAATTGAACAGAAATACAGTAATGAGTCAACAAGCGTTCAAAATTGGTGCACTCATGATTTTCAGTTTGTGACTACCGTCGTTTTTCCCCTGTAGTCTTCATATATTTTAGTCACTTTTCACAAACTTCCCTTTTGGCTCAGTCCTTTCGGAGATGGGACGTTTAACTCGGAGGTCCCGCCTCTTAAATAACCTAACAGTTTTGAAAGGGGTGTTAAACCTATACATGTGAAATGTGCTGACAAAATGAGTTACTTCTCGGATTTCAGCCTTATGGAAATTGATATGTACATCAACTCGGTAGGCGAAGTTTGTACAATTTGTGAGCATGGAATAGTAACAGACACAGTAAACTTGAACGAAATTGAGGACATCAATTGAAATTTTATAAATCTGACCCCAGTGTCGATTTTCAGCCGATATCTCCGTTTTTGGATCGTGAGAAGTAACACATTTTGTCAGCACATCTCACATATCATTTCACCATTTTAAAAAATTATTTTAAAATGTTTTCTTCCCCTGTTTGGTCCAGCCACAAACATGCGTCGGGTGATCGTAGACTTGTTCACAGCGGGCTCCGACACCACGGCCAATGCTCTCTACTGGGCCATGTTGTTGATGGCCGCTCATCCGGAGGTACAGAGGAGGTGTCACGAGGAAATAGACTCGGTGGGTAGGGGGGGTGTGTGGGGTGTGTGAGGTGTGTATGTCACGGCATCACTTTTTGCCCGATTCTGTTACCTTTAGTTAGCGTGACTCAGCAGTACGCGGAGCTCCCCGGCTCGGGATCTCGGGGTTAATGAGCCCAGAAGCAACTTTGCCGGTGTCAGTCAGGAAGTTCGCATTTTTGACTATGTTTAAAACTATATAACTTCTTCCCCATCCCACATAGCAATCCATTACGCGGATGTACGAAAAGCTCAAAGCTTGATTTATTCTACGTTAGAATAGTTAATTTCTGTGCCTTAGTTTTTGTTCTAGACAAGTGTTTGTAGAGTTCCCAATTTGTCCTATTTTAGTTACAAATTTATGAATAAATGATTGTTAATTTAAAAAAGGCTCCACAGATCTC